GGATTATACGGCATCACCATTTCGTCAGTTATACCATACTTTTCTCTGAGAGCTTGCTTCTTTTTCAGATCTATTAAAGCTGCATAATCATCAGGGGAGTCGCTAGGTACAGAGGTAACAATTCCAGTACCTTTATTTTCTTTAATGGTCAACATTGGCAATGTATAAATCACTTTATTAAATGTAAGAGGCGCTTCCAGTGATAATCCTAATATATCCTAGCAATTTTGCATTATTTATATTTATAAATAATAGAAATAAGAAATAAGAAAAGTGCTTTTTTATAAGTAACAAGAGAAATATTACTTTTCCAGTAAGTTTTAATGTAACTGGTATCTTTCCCTCCTCTTCAAAGAAATCTTGGTAAGCCATATTTCTAGCTGCTCTTTCTGTTGAAATATAAACATCTCCATTTGACAATGTACAAGCAGTGTAATTTATATCAGGATGAACCCAACAATTTGTTTGACCGTACATTGTTTCTGGTCTCAAAGTAGCAGCTACTAAATAAACTGGTTTATCAGAAAGAGATCTATGACAATATATTAAATTAAATATTTAATATTTAAAATTATTAATTGTAAATTTTGTGCATTTTTTATAATACTTACTTTAAACTTGGAGGATAAGGTTTTCGTAATTTCATTTTAATTAATGTATACTCTTGTGGTCCTACACCTTCTCCAGTTGATCTATCATGGTCCATACAAGGTTGCCCATCTTTTGGTGAGTAGATTGAATATCTCTTTCCATATTTTATTTTGTTCCTAGTCTTTAAATGTTGAAATTGCCAACGTACAAATGAGTCGAAAAATGGATTTGCATCAGTTGTAATAAATGTTCTGCGCCAATCCACCTAGAATAGTATTGTTTTTTTTTTCTTAAATTATTGCATATTTATTATTAAATTATATATTTTGACTCACATGTATCCCAATTGATTTTAAATCTTTCACAGCAAGAGGCGGAAAATAGTCCAACCAATATGTAGCATCAGCGAATTCTTTGATATCCTCATCTTTCAAACCAAGTGTTTGCATGATTTGCCACTGATATTTTGCAGTGGTAGTTTTTGCAATTGCTTTACTCTAAAAGTGATAATTTAAGAAGTGACATATAAGAATATTTTATGTGTTAATAATTGATTCTTTACTTTTGTTCCTTTGCTTTTATCTTTTATTACTATATCTTCTACAATTTCCTCAATCTTTTCTTCATTAGGGAACTGTGGTGGATAACCATACAATTCCATTTCTCTTTTTAGTTTATCGGCACATGCTTTAATAGGCATACCAGTACAATGAAAGCCAAATGGAAAAAGGACTTTCTTCCCTAAGAGACGATTGTACCGTATTGCGAACTATAAAATTACACATTAAATTCAATTTATGTTTCTATAAATTATCTTCCAATTTGTAAGAATTCATAAGAAATTCGTATTTTACCTCACATTTTGATAATGAAAATGTATGACCAAGATGAAGTCTTCCATTCATGTAAGGAAAAGGAAATGTTGTAAAAAACTTTTCATCAGAATTTTTTTTTGGTTGCAAAGGTGCATCTACTTCAAATACTTTTTCAGAAGCCCACTTTTCTTGCACATCTTTCTCAATTTTCTGGAGATATTCTACTTTGAATGTTCCCTTTCTATCTGCTGCCTGTTAGTAACAAATGGTTATTATATACAATGAAATAGAATGGATTACAAATCGTTAAATTTAAGTGATATTTAAAAAGAACAATTAATCGAATAGAATTTACGTTTTAAGAGACACAATGAGTTAAATTTTTAAATTTTATTAATTACAGCTGGCGCATAAAGACTTGCCGCTATAGAGGTTATTTATTTTAACCTGTCAATTATTATTAAAATTTTTATTACATATACTAATAATAAATAAATATAATTTTTAAAAAAAGTAGTAGTACGTATTATTAGTATACGTAAGTATTAGTACGTACCATTTCGTTAAGACCAACAAAACCCAAGAAAGTCAAATTTAAGTAAATGCCAATAACCATGTGTTGGCGTACACTGAATAAGTCAAATGATGCAATTTTCATAGGTGAATGCAACGGTAATAAATGTTTTATTATTCGATGTGTAACATGTTATGTGCTAAACATTACAACTAAAATGACGATGAGAGATATTTATTCATCAATATGTTAAAATATGTTTTATATTACAAGAATTTTATTGAAATTCTAATGGCGCAAAAGCGCGGTCTATTTTAAATAACGAAATATAAAACTTAAACGTAAAATTTTTATATTTTATAGTTTTATAAAATGAAAATAAGAATTGAAAAATAGTATATAGATCAATTTTTTAATAAATATGAAACTGAATAAGTTAAAAAAGGTTTCGTATATGTATAAAACATATTTCAGTATAAATAATATCAATTTTTTATAAACAGCACGAGTTTTATTATTATTTTATATTATATATTCATACAAATATGCTTACATATGTGCAACTGATTTTAAACCTAATATTGAGAAACATTGTTCCATTATAATCGCGGTAGCTTCAGTTAATAAGATGCGACTCATATTCACGTTTACTATTTCTCCAAGATCATTCTTTTCAAGGCAATAACAGTTATTATAAAATTCCGTGAAAACGCATGAAATTTCATAACAAAACTCACATAGGTGATGTAAATATAAATCGTTCGTAATTTTAATTAATACATCGGGAAATTTAATTAATACTTTGGCTAACTTCCACTCCTTCTCATGTTCCAATGAAATTGGAATATTCTCTGCCATTTCACGTAATTTTTCTTGCGAGATGTTAGCAGTCCTTGCAATAGAGCGTATTCTTGTTAAAGCGTATAACAAGTATACGGCAGTATTACCTTTATCTTCCAACATTTTATCAAAAGAAAAGACGTATTCGTGATTTCTATTATGCGATAAATCAGCATATTTTATACATCCATAAGCAATGGATTCTTGAGCGATTTTTAACTCTTCCTCGGTAAGTACTTTGTCACGTTCTCTTTCTTTGAGTTTCTCGAGTGTTCTCTTCAAACCTTAAACGATAAACAGAAATTCAAAGAAGATTATAGCAGCTATAACGTGATAGTAGTATGTAGAAAATTACCTTCATCAAGTAAGTCACTTAATTTTACTGTTTCGCCAGATCTGGTTTTAAATTTCTTTTTATCATTACCAAGAACTACGCCAAATCCAACGTGGTCTATTCTATGACAACTTTTTAAAATTCCAGCTCGTTCAGCGCAATGTTTTAATACTTGAAAATGCATAGATTGACCAGCATCTGTTACATATATTACCTATATATAAATAAAATACATAAAAAAGATAACAGGATATTTTATTGAATCACAATATTGAAATATGTGCAAAAAGTACCCAATCTACTTTTTCTTCTTCTACACGCTGTTTAATAGCTGCCATATCGGATGTATCATAAGTAAAACCACCGTCAGATTTTATAATGGTTAGAGGTATTTCGTTATCGCGTTTACTAAACATTACTTTTCGTCCTTCGTCTTCTTCTAACAATCCTTTAGCTTCCAAGTCTTTCACTATAGCTTCCATATGCTTTTGATAAAAAGATTCTCCTCTTTCTATCAACTTAATATCTAGTCGGGTATATATCTTTTCGAATTCTACATTTAAAATTAAATATGTTACATTAAATACATGTATATATGTGTATTAAAACGTGAAGCAATGCAATAATTTTATAGTAATTTTTTTAATTTCATAATTTTACGATATCAATTATTTTACCTTTTCTAGAAACATCACAAATCAATTGCCATGCTTTTATCATGTCTGGATTAGATGCTTGTAACTTAACAACACAATTATAAGCGCGCTTTTTAAATTCTTCATCTGCATCGAATCTTGCCTTTGATTCCTTATAGAAACTCTACAATTTTTACAACTTGTTAGAATAATTTTTTGTAATTATGTAATATACGTAAAGATAATCATAGAGCAAAAATATTTAGAATTACTTGGAGATCTGCGATAGGTGGAGATATAGACAAATAATCAGGAAACCTATCTTGAAGATGAGCTATTAACATTCCAAATTGAGTACCCCAATCACCAACGTGATTTATCCTCAACACATCATGCCCTAGAAACTCTAACAACCTTGCAATACTGTCTCCAATTATAGTAGATCTTAAATGTCCAACGTGCATTTCTTTAGCAATATTAGGACTAGAAAAATCTACAATCACTTTTTGCTTTTTTGTATATGGTGGTAATATCTTTCCATTTTTCACTAAAACGTTTAAGGTCTTTTGTGCAAATTCTTTTCTCAAATATATATTTATAAAACCTGCTCCAGCAACTTCCAACTTGGAAATTAAATTTGATTCTTCTACTTTGGACACGATGTTCTCTGCAACGTCTCTTGGTTTTGCCGTAATTCCTGAATAAATATAAAAACATGTATATACCAATGCCTGCAACTAAAATTTCATGTTGATAATATATCGATATCATTATAATCTTACCATCATTTTTGAGTTGTTTAGAAAGTGCCATAGCACTATTACACTGATAATCTCCAAATCTTTCATTATTATTAGATATTATAATTATTGGAGGATCACAAACATCAGGATACGCGACTGAGATTGCCTTTTTAAATAAATCAAACAGTGTATCATATAAACTGATTGCATTGTTTTCCAACATTTTCAATTTGTTTTCAGACTTTGCTCTTTCAGCTTCAACGGTCTTTTCAGAACAAATAGAAGTATTATTATTTTATTGACAGTGGAATGAAAGTTGTAAAATTATTAAAAGTATTTTAAACGAAACAAACCCTTTTTAGGATAGCCACTCTGTGTCTCAGTTTGATATTTTCCTGTTCTAACTTTACATATTCATCCATAGATACAGAATTTACCATAGAATTATTAGTCTTAACATTTTGTCGCAAAAGCTCAATCTCCTTTTTTAAAAAAGCTATCTCTTCTTCCTGCAATGTCCATATGCAAACATTATAACCTACAAAAGTTAGCTAACAATCTCAAAGATTTCGTGAATCTAATGAATCTTTTAAATAATAAATATAAATTAATAGTACAACTTACCGCTTCGGCTGCTCTTTTGTAGAAATTTTCTAAATTTACAGTGGTCATCCTATGGAAAACTTGCTTTCGGCAACTCTATAAAAATAATGCACGTGGAGCTTTCAAAAAACTTACTTTTGTGCTATTTGCTTCAAAATTTGAAATTACGTCATATTGTAGATTTACAAGTTTAAATAATATGTAATATTAAATTGAACTTGAGAAAAAAATTGTTTAACTATCGTATTCATATTTCATACATATAGGTATATTTGTAATTCCACACATACACACGCGCGCGCGCGCGCGTATGCCTATTTAAATCATACTCATTTAAATTAGCGCGCTTTTATTTAAATATTTGAATATTTCTACTCTTTCTGTCCGTATAATTTTATTGCAAATAAATAAAATATACAATTCAATGAAAAATCAAAAATTCATTTAATCGATAAGAAATATAATAATTTGTTTTGAAGAAAAAATTATAATTATTTAAAACGTGAATTAAAGTAAAATGAAATGAAATTATTAAAACTACGTGTTGGGAATTGTAAAATATGGAATTAATTTAAAACAGAACTAATTTTGTTGAGTAAATCAGTTGAAAGAGTAGTTAAAAGGGTACAATTTCCTTTTATATCAATTATTTATTTTCCATACAAATTATAAACATGTTTTTCAAATACTGTACATATACTGAATTCTATTATATTTTTAAACCTCTAATTTAATGATATATCATTTCGTTCTTTATTTACTTGTTAAATCAACTACTTTGATCCTCGTTTCGTTTTATTCATGATAATATACACAGGTAGATCCCATTCTCTCTGATCAGTATTTCACTTAATCATTTTTTATACTCAAGCTCAATTCTTTGATATGGCAGTTCCAGGATATGAAGAAATATAAATTGCAAATATAGATCAGTGCGTTTTCCATTTTCGTAGAAAGGAACAGTAAGAATTACAGTCGAGTACATTTCATAGAGATAGTAATTTCAAAAAGTTTAATTTAAAAAGTTCAATATCGTTCGAACGAATAACTATTCAATTAAAATATATTAACATTCCAACTATTTTATTATTATAATTTTAATCACTAAACAAATAGTTCTTATACACGAGTCTCTATGAAAATACGGACGAAAATATTGTAGCGTTTTTTAATTCCGAAAGAGTTTACGAATTACAATAAATGAACTTTTTGTTCTCGTCAGAATACTTTATAGTAGATAAAACATAGCCACTGGAACTTTTTCTTTTGATGATTTTTTTTTTTTTATGTAAATATGTACAAAGATATTTAACAAATTTCATCGGTTTTTCGTCGATCGTATCATGTGTTGTGTACAGTGCGAATCCTTTCATTTTTCCCTCTAATCTACTTCTGCGTTTTTTATCTTTATGGATTTCAATTTTTTCCCCTTTTTTTCTGATATCATCGATATAGAGTGAGAGAGTGCTATTTTCTATCTTCACAGAAGACATAGATAAATATATATTTTCATAATCTTTCCTTATAAATGTAATTCGCTTACTTTAAAATCATTATTCGTTAATGTTAATAATATTAGTGTCGGTGCTTCTTTTCTACGACTTCGAACTCCTCCCGTTTTCCTCATGTTTTTTTTTTTTTTTTGTTAAAATAAAAATTCGCATAACCAAAACAATATTTGAGTATCTTCTAAATATATTGCATAATTCCTTGCTTTTTTTTTTAATAATAACGATTTATTTTGGGTTGAATTAGAACCATCAAATGTTTCTCTATTTAATGAAACATGAAACAAATTCATTTTATATTCGTTTATTAGGATCGATTTATTTTCTAAAAATATTCTTCCGTATCAATAATTATTATTGACAAAAATTGAATCAAATTTGAAAACATTCATGATTTCTCAAATCATCATAATGGTTCCAATTCCACCGTAATGTACACACAATTTAGCGCAAAATTACAATTTATAGATATAATATATAAAAACGAATTTTACAATGAATTATTACAAAAAGAAGGTAACAATAAGTAAAAACTGTGAAAATCGTGAAAGCTGCCAGTTAATGAACGAAAGCCATATATATTATTATTTAAATATATAAGTTCCTTCGTTATTCAGTCAATCACTTAGCGAATGTAATTCTCACCCCGAATAAAAAGCGACATATTTCTGACTAAAAGAGAGATCAAAATACATTGCCACTTGTTGCGTAAAAGTTAATTAAGGTAAAGAATACAATAAGTATTAATTATCTCCTTAAAAGTATACATGATTCTTTCCTGTATTATCTTAATATTCACTGCTCCATAGGCAAGTCCTGTTTCAGAACAAGAAATTGATCAGATTAAAGAATATGAAAAAAGTTTCCTGTGCATTTACACTGTGTATAGTCTCTGTGAGAGATGTGACTAAATAAAACTAATTGTAGGGTTTTTAATATGTGGTCCTCTACTCTTTTATACGATCATCGGTGAAAAGCAGAATCTGAATATCTAATATCAAATTTCCCTGGTCCATACATTGAAACAATATTAAGTACGAAACACAAACAATGTCTTGCATGAACTGTGCTGAAAGTATGCTCAAATTTAGAGAGCTGCGATGAAGTCACGCTATTACGTAGTTCCTCTTCATCAAAATCATCATCAAAAGACTGGAGAATTTCACAAGCACAAGGATTTCACTTTTATGCTCTTGAACTAACTTCAATGTTCTCCGGTCGTAAAAAGTATTAAGATCACGTATATTACCAAGTTGTAAAGAAGAATATCTCTATTCGATGAACGTTGTTCGTATCTAGCGTGCGCAATTGATAGAATCTGATGTATTAGTTTCAGTAAGTGTGTGCTAGAAAAATAAAAACGATATGCTAAGTAAGAAAACTCATTGTGTAAGAATTATAGAAAGAAAAAAAAGAATCAAAAGAAGAAGAAGAAGAAGAAAAAGAAAAAGAAAAAGAAGAACAAGAAGTACAAGAAGTACAA